ACGGGTTGAGGTTTTTAAATTTTTTTTTTTTTAAATTTATATATATAATATATATATATATATATATTATATATATTATTTTATATATATTTTATATATTTGATTATATTATTATAAAACAAAAAAACAAAATATTTTTAGGCCAAATCATTTCAGGCCCCCTGTCGCCTCCATCTCCATTCTCTCTCTCTCTCTCTGCAACTGCAAACTACAAAATCTACAAGAATCAGAAGTTCAAAACCCATATATTTCAGTTTTATCTATCTGTCTGCAAGAATCAAAAGTTCAAAACTCATATCGGCATATCATTTCAGATTGTTCAAAAAATCAAAACCCAGATCTTTCAGCCTCAAATAGGTTCGCCAATTATTTTATAAATCTTTTTAAAAATTAGTAAGATTTTATATATGGAATTGTTATCTTATGACTTTTTTATATTTCCATTCTCTTTAATGGGGTTACATCCCTGTATGGATCTTAATAACTTTTGCACATGCCATGTGTAAATTGATGAACTATAATAAACACCTATGATCTTGGAGTTTCGGAGGCAAAATATTCTCTATTTCTATGAGTAGCTAGGCAAGATCGGTAAGGTAGAAGGTAAGATAATCTTTATCTTGGTCCATTCAGAAGGGAAAACATATTCTCTTGCCATTTTTCCAAAGAATCGAGATTCTAAAGTGTCCGATAAAGTTTGTGAAAATAGATCCATGCTTCCAATCTTGTAGACAGACGCTAGAATTTGGATTAAGGAGAAAGAAGGGAGGTTCTTTCCTAGAGCACTTCCCCTGTGCATCTTTTCTTGTAAAACATAAAGTTACAGGCGCAGAGGTGACGGCAGCGGCGGGGCGTCGAAAGAAGAGAGAGGAGAGAGAAAGGAAATTTTTTTTTTTTTTTTTTTTTTTTTTTTTTCGGGTTTTGGGTTGGGTTTGGGTTGAGCCCGAGCCCAACCCGAATATGTCTAGGTTTTGACAAAACCCAACCCCAACCCGAACATGAGCCCGATTTGTAAATTGAAAACCTAAATTCCAAAATTTCGGGTTGGGCTGGGTTAGCCCGCCCAAGTTGCAGCCCTATCGATATGGGCTTCACTGAGAACCCTTATGTATTAAGTAATTTTCAATCACACCTATGGAAGAAAATATTGTAAATTTTACGGTAAGAAAGAACATGATACAATAACATTATGTCTATAATGGCTGTGTAAAATCTGTATAAAATTTAATGAGAAAAATACTTATGGATCTTGCAATGTTAGTTGTAACAATTATGTATATGATACACTATGTGTGTGCATACCACATCTGAGGAAATACCAAGCATAAATGTCATTTTGTCATTTCACATTCTCATGCTTTTTTAATATTAGCTTATTGTATTGCACAAAGGACATTTAAGTCTTTTTATTTTGCAGCTAACGGAAATGTGCCCAAAGGTCCTTATTTTAACACTTTAGAAACTTGAGGGGATTTCAGGAACGACAGGACTATACGCACTATATGAGGGGTGTTTTGTGCACTTTACCCTCTAAATATGTGGTTTTAGCAAAGAAAGAGTAAACTAGACTAGAGAAGATAATTTCACGCAGTCAATCCTCATAGTTGAGATTACAGTCGCTGTGTGAAGAAATATTTGTCTTCTCCCAAGACATTTGAACAAAAAACAGTGATAGCTGCCGTTTCTTAAAGAATTGCCATTCTTAGTAACAGATTTGTACACTAATCTGCATGCACATTGATGAAATATGCTGGTCCAAATCATTAACTGCCATTTGAGAAACGACCGAAACAAACTACAAGCATACACTGACAACTACTACATTTTTGGAGAAAATGACATAAATCAATCAGAATATAGAAATCCGATTACTAAAAAAATCATACTATTCTGGAGAGCATATTCGGATTTTGCTACCTCACTCAATTACAAACTCCAGAAAGTCATTAAATAAACCGAGTCATTTTAACTGGTTATACAAATACTATATAGCAGATAAACATATCATTTCATATATAAATAGCTATTCCCCAACTAGCATACTTTATTGTATTATTATGTCATGAAAATTAATATTTTTTATGTACCATATAAAAAAAAATTAAAAAAAAAAAAAAATTTCTAGCAGCAAAATAGGTTATAATATATTTTTCCGCAGATAATAATTACTTATGAGTTGTTCTGTTTCAGGGTTTACTCTATTTTTAGGGATTCCAGTTCTTCAATTTCTAGAATTAGTATTTTAATTGCGGGGGTTAGAATCATGTATAAAACATTTAAGGGGGAAAAAAAAAAACTTTTAGCAGCAAAAATAGAATATGATATCTTTTTCAGCTTTCAGCTTTCTGTTTCATGGTTTACTCTGTTTTTAGGGTTTCCAATTTCTTCATTTTGTAGAATTAGTATTTTAATGGTGTGGGCGTTGGAATCAAGGTACTTAGGGTTTATAAGAAAGATGGCTTAAATTAATACCTGTGTAGAAGAGCCAATGAACAGGCCTCTTGGTGAGGACGTCCTCGTACTACCATATGAAGTCCGCCTTCTCCCACACATTGCAGAGGAACCCATCGACATACCTCTGACCCAAATAATGTGCGCCGTCGAGCCAATCAGGTGGGAGAATCCCAACCTCGAGCTGTGCTGTTCCACAGCTAGGGTTTGAACCGAAGGTGTAGAAGAAGGAGGTGCCATTGTTCCATTCGAGGTCGTAGAGGATGTCAGTTGTGGATAATCAGAGATAAATGTCGTACATTAATTCCTTGGAAACTTCTCATGCTGAAGGATATTGCGCAGAAGAAATATCAAACTAGATAGCCTAGTTTGTGGTTTTTTTTTTGGTAAGAAATTGGAAGAAATAGATTTTTAATAAAATTTTATTAATATTAAATTTATTTTTATTTTTCGAGAAGTGATCTTATTTCTTATTTTCTTTTCTTTTTACCGTAAATATTAGTTTCTTTTTTTTTTTTTTTTTTTTCTCTTTTACCGTACCAAACATATTAATTGGAAATTCATTTCTTTATAATTATAAAATTTATTTATGTTTTGGAATTATAGTACTAGTTCCAATAATGCACAATGATTTAAAAACTGTGACGATGATGAGATGGATAGCTATGCAATGTAGGACAACCAAAGCAGACCAACCGTACACTTGTCCACGCTCTAGATTCTTGATGTCTATTTTCTTTTTTCTTTTTTTAATTATTAATATCATTTTTCGGAAGTTGACTTGATGTCTTTTTGGTAACACGTTATATACATGTAGCCTCTGAGGTAAGGGCGGACAAGACGGTTTGAGTTTATCTTAAATGATTTTGAATCATAAATTAATTATTTAATTAATATTGTCAAGTAAGCAAGTCACCTGAACTTCTCATGTTTCTCTGATTATTTTTTCTCAATATTTTAATTTTCATATATTAATTCGATAAGAGCCTCATTTACAGTAGGTGGAGAATAATTTGGTAATGACATTTTAGGAAAATTTTAAATAGGGAAAAAATTGATTTTCTTGTATTAAGAAATAAAATAAGTGAGTTTATAACATGCTGGTTTGATTATTTTGAAAGGTTTCTATATTTGGTGCGGGCTCATCAATGATCAAGGGATTATTATTTTTTATATAATATATAATGATAAACATATTTCAAGTAAAATTATAAATTTAGTACCATGTGTGTGTCTATATATGTTGAGGATACCAAAGACGGCATGGGCCGAATACGACCCGCGAGAGGAGCACCGGGTCGGATAGTTGATCTCGGTCCATACTAAAACCCTGCAAGACAAGCCCAAAACTAAAGACAAGTTGAATAAAAGCCAAGCCCAAGAAGAAGAAGGCCCGAAGATGATGGCCCAGCAGGAGAAGTCAATTGGGAAGCTCGTAGAACACTTGTAACCCATCTATAAATAGAGGGGAATTAGAGGGAAAATGGGGAGATAATTCTTGAAATGTAATGAAACTCTGTCAAAATTGAGGGAGAGAGATTTCTTGTATCTTCAATGGCACCGTCCGTGGGAAGTGATGAGGATTGAGTCACGTTTGATCAACATCGCATCGATTCAGACTAGTTCGTGAGGAAGAAGCATGATGTTTGAAAACCGAATCTAGGTTTGAGAGATCGTAATTTGCTTTGCAGAGTTTAAGTTCCATTGATTCCGAGAAATTAGAGTCAGATCTACGCAATTTGTGATTTGATTGGTGCGATTAGATTTGACAAGTTCACGGCAGCAGAAGTTCAGATCCAGTGAACTGTGAACGGAATTCTGTTAATTCGAGTCTAGATTTGACGCGATCTACATTAGCGAAACTTAGATCTGGTCAAGAACTTGTGATTAATGCCTTTACTCTATTCAGGATTGATGATCGGATGTGAGAACTCCAATCCGATGGAGAATGTCCAACAGACGAAGCTTGATGAGTTGATGAACATGATCAATGCTCTGAGGAAAGAGAATGCAGAATTGAGAGCTGGAATGCAGCGTTAAGAAGTTCCGGTTATTCAGCGACCTCCTCCGGCAGGCGAGGGAGGTATGCAACCCGATGTTGTACACCAGGGTGAGCACGAAGGGAATAATCACATGGATCTTCGCCGTGAGGAAGTCATACTAAACGATTTGCTGCCAAATACTTATCACGTCGTAGATCGTGAAGGATCAGTTCACCTAGATCCACGACGTGAGCAGATCGGTCGAAACGAAGCCATGACTTTCGGACCGTATCAAGAGAAGCAAAATCGGGAAGAAGCTATGGAGTTCGGTCACCACAAGGTTACTCCTCTTTGGCAGAAGGGATCGACAAAGGAAAGATCGTTCGATCCCCCTTATCAGCCTTCAATGGCCACGTATGATTATGTAAGCTCGGAGAAAAATCTGCAGATCAAAGAATTGTTACAAGGTTCCAAAGGGAGAATAAGGCCCTCCGTTCGACAGCACGAACAGTTGACTCACCGTTCACCGACGAAATCCTGAATGCTCCGAGTCCGAGGAAGTTCTCCATGCCTGTTTTCATTTTGTTTGACGGAATAATTGATCCAATCGATTATGTGTACCATATTCAGTTGAAGATGGCTCTGAATATGGAAAATGATTCCCTAATGTGCAAGTGTTTTCCCACCAGTTTAGCTAGACCAACATTCAACTGGTTCAAAAACCTGCCGAGGGGCTCAGTGGACAGTTTCCAAAGCTTGTGTGATCGGTTCATAAGCCAATACTATGGAAATAAGCGCCCGACAAAGGATATCTCGAGTCTGTTCACGATGAAGCAGCATGAAGACGAGCGTCTCCAAGCTTTTCTTACTAGGTTCAACCTCACTAAGAGCATAGTGATTGAATGCCATCCTTCTACAGTTGTCCAAGCATTCAAGCTAGCAATGAACCGAGGTACACCATTTCACACAAGCCTGGTGGTGAACACGCCGAAGACTATGGATGAGCTGAATGAAAGAGCCGATGGATTTGTGCGTCTGGAAAAATAAGAAGTAGCCAATGCTCGTAAAACATCTATAGTTTCGACGGAAGAGAAGTACAGAGCGAAGATCAGACAAAAACAAGTTCAACCACAACGCCAGACTTCCTGGAAGGCAGAGAAGAGGCCTCGAGAAGAAGAGCTGATCACTCCACTTAAAGTTACTCTCGCAAGGCTGTACCCAGAAAACAAAGATAAGTTTCGCTCTCCCTTGCCAATTAGACAACATCTTGAGCAAAGGAATCAGTCTAAGCATTGTGCTTTTCATAGCAACTTTGGTCATTAAACTAATGAATGCAGGAACTTGAGGAGACAGGTTGTGATACCCCTAGGATCCGAGACAGGGGTTGATCAGGCCCAAGCCCAAACCCGAGGGAATATCAAACAATTAAAGTATTTTAAATTGAACACAGAATACAAAGAGGAATAAGAAATAAAAAATAATACACTGAAGGAATACTAATTTTAAAACCTCAAAATATAAATATTGAAATCTGACAATCCAAAACCTCCATAAGTTTAACAACTCGGGAATCCATCTCTAGTGGACCCCTAATAAAACTCTAAACTGAATGAAAGTAAACTGAAATATAAAATCCAAATCTAACATCTGGAAAGAAGTTCTACGTCGTCGGTAGAATAGAAGATCGTCTCTGCTCAGCTCAAACAAGCCCTAAGATTGGAAACATCTGATACCTAAAAAATGATAAGTGGGTCAGGCCCACGAGCAAGTTCTATACTACTACAATCCAAGTGGAGACCCGATACGCATGTATATCCTAACCAATCCAACAATAACTAAATAGTCCGTAGATATATATATATATATATATATATATATATATATATATATATATATATATATATTCACATTACAGGACTCTCACTGGACTACAGGTTCGTCTCAACCTGACTAGTAGGCACCATGCAAAATGCACCTGGGGTGGGCATGACTACCTAGACCTAGCAGGGTACAAAATCCAACTATGCATCCCAATGCATATACGCTCCCTAACCAACGACTCTGAGACTCAAGCTCATATCCTGGCACTATAAAAATATATTTAAATTCTATTCCAAACCAAAGTGTCACTCAACTATTTAGTGATCTGACACAAAATACAAGTAGGAATTAACTTTTGTAGTTATTCCATCCCTTAATCCATAGTAGGTAGGACTTAACGTTTTTGAGCTAATCCTCCTAGTATGTCACTGTCCCATACCGGTGCATACAATCCATCCATCCAGTGTTGATAATATAAATGATAATATAAACAACCTATCCAATATAAGCATAACAAGAATGTTTAAATAGCAGGCTTGTTCAATACATCCAGTATATGATTCTCTAACAAATTTAAAATGCAGAGAATGAATATAACCATCCTGTAACCCACATTAAGCATAATAATAATAATAATAATAATAACAACAACAACATCATAATTAAATGCTTACTTGTAACTACTCCAAAACATCCCATAAGTTGATACAACAATTCTTTGTAAACATCAACTAGTTTCTTATTGAGCATTAACCGAATTTATATTAGTTAACATGCTTAATCTCATACCACTGATACATGATTCAAATATCATACTCCTAATTCAATTGCTAATTTAGAATTAAACAACTTGAATTATCCGAAACAGAGTTAAAACTGAAAACTTCTTTAAGGGTTAGACTGTGACCCTATTTCAGCTTCCTATGGTATCTTATGAATTACCATGCCTTCTTCCAATTTAACAAGAGTTTATACCCTACTGAATATCCCTAGAATAGCTCTTGAATTAGCCTGGAACCTTTAAAATTTAACCACAGTAGCCTAGGTTCGCAGAAAAGTTGAAAAACTGGAAACCGTCGAAGAAGCCGGCTCCACACAAGGTGGAGCCGCCTCCACCACATAGTAGATCCGGCTCCACCCACGGTGGAACTGCCTCTAGGCCCTAAAGAGCCGGCTCTACCTAAGGTAAAGCCTGCTCTACTCTTTGGTGAGCCTGCTCTTCTTGAAATAGAGCAGGCTCCTTCCCTGTGCGTCATCTTTTTTAACTCCGGCGGTATCCGGCTATGTTGATCCCCAAACCAAGTTCCTTACTGATTAAAACTAAACCCTAGTGTGTTCCAGAGTTAATTAAATTTATTACTTATTAATCAAATTCAATTGGAATAAGAATCAAGCAAAAACAGTTTAAAAACGAACAGGTTACACATACAGTTTTAAAACGAATGATCGTGGAAACCAAGTTAAACCAAATTAATTTAAATTTATTTCATCCTGGAATTAAATTAGGGATGCAAAGAACACAGGCCAAAGAGATAGAGTTAGATATAAAACTTGCCTGTGAGATTCAGTTCAAAAATCTCAACGTCTTCTTCTAGGCTTTTCCGGTGATCCTTTGGTTTTCCCTCTCTGTTCTCTCCCAGACTCCTCCAGACTTCTCTCAGTTCTCTGTATGCCGTGTGATGAGCGCTGAAAAATGCGCATTTAAACCCCTTAAGCCTAGGTATTCTAGAACCTTTATCTATCTTACTTTACCATTTTATATTGATTTCGTGTTATTTATATTTTTATGTACTTATCCCTAAAATAAGCTAACTCAGCCAAATAAGAGCAGAAATGAAGCAATTCTGGGATGAATCAAAGAAAGGAGCAAAGTAGAGCAAAAGGATCTAAGATAATTGATCTCAGCACTTCAAAGATGGATCTGAGCAAACTTGTCCCTATTCAAAGAACCTAAAGTTCGATCGATCCAACTTCATTCTCCAATCGATCGAACATTCTTGTCTTTATCCAAATGATGCTTTTGTCCTTTTCCAAAAAATATCTCCAAATATCTCAGATTTGTTTTTATCCAAAAAGGCGTCGCAAGTTAGATAGATCCAAGCTTAGTTCGATAGATCTCAGCCATGTTCGATCGATCCAAGTCCAAGGTTCGATCGATTGAACTTCCTCCAGTACGAAAAAGTTAAAATTGCCAACTCACAAAAGTTGTCCTTTATCCAATCATTAGGGAATATTTGTTGTATGACCCCAGCTCATTTTAGGTGTCATTTGACCTATCTATATATGGAATATGAGCCACTTTTACAAAGGACTTTTGACATAATTTCTAGATCAATTCTTAGTGAGGAAGAAAAGAAAAAGATAAGGCTAGAGACATCATTGGGGGTTCTTCATCAACCAAGGAGTAGATTTCTTCCATGGAGCTTGCCCTTGAGGGTTGGAAGACATCATCCATGAGTGGCTAGACATTCTATTGGGGCTAAAGTTAGCTCTAAGCATGCTTTCTACATCTTGATTTGTGTATTATTAAGGGATTTGTATTGTGATACATGTTTTGACATTTATATATATATAGATCTTGTTTATTCAATGATTTATATGGTTTAATGCTTCCAATTGATTATTTCATTTTATCCATATGTCTATGTATGTTAAAATAGATGTTCATGAGCTTGTCTCTAGATTTTGTGTTATTGATGCATGTCTATGTGTATTAATGCTATAGCATCTAGAGATTGTCAAAACATAGTGCTTAATGGAATGTTTTTATGATTTATTTGATGGTTCATACTCATTTCTTGATGGATTGTGCCTCTCCCTTAGTTTAATTAGTTTAATTTCATATTATTAACTTAATTGTAGTGTAGATGTTAAATGGGAGGACAATCTATGTTTGTTGTTTGATATTCCATACTTATGAATGCAAATAACATATTTCTCTAACTTTGTGGTGTGTTTGGATTGTGAGCTTAATAAAATGATTTATGGCTTAGTTTGATGTATTGTGCTTTTCACTATGTTGTTTAGACAATATATGCTTAATTGGTCATCCTTGTTAATTGAATCAACCAAATACGCACACACATACCAATATTGCAATACATGTTTCCATCATTAATCATTTGTTAAGGGTGTAGAAAAGCTATGCTTAGTGGTGATCTCTAAACCCCAAGATTTCTTCTCTCTTACTTACTCTCTAGTGCATTCTATTGTTTTTATCTTAGTTTAATTTGCATCTAGTATAATTCAACCAACTAACCACTCTTTTGATCATTCGACCTGCTAACCCTAATCTAGATTCCACAACCTTGACGACCCACCAATCCCTTGGGACGATCCCTACTTACCTTAACTATATTTCTAGTGAAAGGTAGTAGTGGCTCTTATAAATGTAAAACTTGGCCCCTACCTAAAATGCACACTCTTAAGCTTATGGTGTGAGTGACGACCGACCACCACCATGAATAGGGTTCTCCAACCCTAAACCGAACGTAATACTTATATTTATAGGTTTACCCGAAAACCCTAGTTTAACTAAACCCTAAACCAATCCTTAGTCGGCCCATTGAAAACCTAATTAATGTTTAATTATGTCGGCTATATCCGTGACGTCTATAAACCTAATTTAACAAAAAAACATTTGACTCAATTCAAGTAATATAACCATGCAATTAAAACAATTAAGCAAATAACAATTAAATAAAAACAAGTAATTAAATAATACATAATTAATTAAATCAAAACGAATTCACCATTAAATAAATAACAAATTCACCATTAAATAAATAAAAAGCACAATTTAAACAATTAAATAAATTTCAGGACTATCCTTGTTAAATTAGGGGTATTACACAGATGGAGATGTTGATCGCAAAAGGAGAATTTGCAGGCTATATCCAAGGGCCGGCAGTGGAGCAGAACCGACCGGTAGAGTAAGTGAAGAGGAATCAAAAGCCGAGCTCTCATAACTCGTAACCAGTTTGGATAATAAATGCAATCCATGGTTGACCTGAGTCGAGCTAAGAGTCAAAAGAGCTACTCCGAACGCGCCTCTGCCAAGCGCAAATGAAAAGAAGGATAGGCAGTGTAAACGCTCTGCACCAGCAGAATACATCAACACAAATAAAATTTGATAGAACAGACCTATTGCGCGTACAGATCCCTCATGAAGATCTGTTAGTCGTCAGTTTAACAGTGGAGGAGTGTTTGGTTCGAAGAGTTGTGATTGATCCTGGGAGTAGTGCGAATGTCATGCCCAGAGTAACGTTCAATCGGCTAGAGATCAAACTAGAAAAGCTTAAGCCGACCGGCAATCCGTTGCTGGGGTTCGATAGAAAACGAGTAGAGCCCATTGGTATGGTGGAAGTAACAATGCAAGCAGCAAAAAGAGTTCTGATAGAAAGCTTTGTTGTCGTCGATATCTATCCGTCTTACAATCTCCTGATCGGAAGATGGTGGATTCACAGAGTCCAAGGTGTTCCCTCAACTTTGCACCAAGCGAT